GTGCAGCGTGACCAGAGCTGGGGGCCCGGTGCACAAACAAGGGGAGGGTGACCCCCCCAGCCAGGGCTGGCCCCTTGCTGGCACTGAGCTCCGGAAAAGACCCCGAGACCACTGTCACCCACAGCCACCGCGCACCGGGGCTGCGGCTGGGCCCAGGAGACGCTGGGAACCGGCACTACAAAAACTGGGATACGCTTCTTAAAACCCAGGGATTTGAAACATGACATCACAACAAAGACCCGAGCCGGGTACAACACACAAATAAATACTTCATTTAAGAACTTGGTCAGAGTAACCCACTGCAGAGCATGTAAGTCTGTGAGGACCACGAGGTGGGCACTGTGCCTTCCTTCCCCATGCCTCAGCCTATGCTCAGTCTGTCCCGGTTCTCCCAGAGCCATGTGTGGTACACGTTTAACTTGTGGTCCTGTGGCTGTACCTAAAACACCATGGAAATGTTTATTATTGAGTAAAAGACCTTCTCTTAAAACACCCCACTGCTCAGGTGGACCTCCCCTCCCGTGGGACCCCTCCGTGCCTCACAGGAGCAGTAAACACCATGCCAGGCAGTCAGCCTCTGCCAACCAAGGAATACAGCGCTCGGTCAGCCCCAAAACCACCCACCCCATGTGAATTGGGAGTGAAGTCCTACACTGGAGAGCAAAACAGCCCCTCACAGCCATCTGCCACGAGAGGACCCCAGCACAGCAGAGACCCCACCAACGCTGATCACAGAGCGGTGCCAGGCTCAGGCTGGCAGGAAGCACATGGAACCTGGTTCTTAACCGGAGCAGGGAAGAGACCCTCACCCTCCGCACCAAGGAAACATGAGAAAAAACCACAGCGAGAGTGGAAAATTACAGAGGAAAAAATAAAAATGAAGGTGACAAGTTTTTAGAGGTTCAGACTTATAAAAGGGACATTCCGGGAATGCGACCTACTGAAGGAATGAAAATCACCACCTCTCTCTTTAACCCACTCGAGCCATCGGTACAATCGGAGGCAAAGGACGGAGCCAGGAGCCGGCAGCGCGGCCGCACACCCACCTCCTTCCACTCGTTGACACAGAAGATCCTGTAGGAGTCGTTCCCGTACTTGCCAATGCCGTGCAGCTCGATGGGGTACTTCCACTGCTTGCTCAGGTACTCATCTGCAACACAGGCACAGGCTCCACTGCCTGCAACCAGCTGCCAAAGCAGCTCTGGGCAAAATCCTCATTCTCTGCTACTGTAACTTGGCTCCACGTTGGAACATTTTAGATGGAAACCACAAGTTTTGGCTGTTCCCTGGTGACAGGAGGTGATGAATCCCTATGGGGCACAGCTTAAACACCTCTTAAACAAATCACTATGAGGGAGTTTTAATGACATCTCTCTCCTCAGAACCCACAGAGGAATACTTTTATTCTAAGTATAGAAAATATCAGAATCATAGAAGAATTCCTGC